GTTGTTCATTTTTATCCTTCAGCTGTGAAGATTGCTTGCTCTGAAAGTTAAAATATTCCAAAATTTCCATTTTGCTTTAATTAAATTATCAGATACTGTTAACATTATATAGGAAGTTGTGATAGTGTTTCAGGTTTAAAAAGTCAGAAAAATTGGAGAGAAAAATGCTTCAAAATATAAATTAATGTTTTTTTTTTTCAAATGGACATTATAAGTTGTGATAGCTTTAATGTATCCAGTAAAAAATTTGGACTTCATTGTTGAAAATTTATTTTTTCTTCAAAATCTTGGTTGTGTATATATCATCACATTGACATTGGCTGTGATGATTCCTGAAAGTCAAAATTTTGGCCAAGCAGGAAAAGAATGTTTAAGAGATAAGATGAGAAGTCTTACACATCAAAATACGGAATTCTTCTGGCAGCAAATACTTAAGATCAGAGATAATTTTGAGAGAGAGATAATATTAAAAGCTTTAGTTAAGTCTCCAGATTTGGAGTTGGGAGGGTTATCTGTTGTGCCTACGTCTTTGGTGAGAGATCGGTTACTGACAGATCCGAAAACACTTCAGCTAATGTTACTTGAGTTTAAGTCTAGATCTGGTTTGAAGCATCCTGTGAATGCTTTATCTCATTTAAAGACGGAATCTCGGGAGAAAATCTCGGATTTTTTTTTTATTACAAAACATGTTTTCATAACCTATGCAGTTTCCTTGTGATGTGATGTTGATTCTGATACTGGGTAGTACTGTTGAACCTCTATAGCGAGAACGATGGGATCATGATAAAATGTCATGATAAACAAGGTACAGAGGATATGTTGTAAGTACTGGACCAACACTTTGATTTCGTGTTCATTTCATAACCGGAGAGTTTTTGTGGCAGTGATCGTTGTAATATTGATGTAGATAATAAACCCAGTAAAATTGTCAGTTCTTCAATTTAGAGTCATATATCTTTTAGGAGTTCCGAAAAAGAACATCAGAGAGTATGGATAACAGTGTGTGTTAGTTATGTATAATACAAGGTTTATGTAAAGGAAAAGATGGGTTTCAATTTCAATCTACTACATTGTCACACATATATGTGTAGCATGTGTAAAATCTCTACAATGAGGAAGTAGAGAATGTCTGTGTGTCTGTCTGTTAGTAGGTCTGTCCTATGTGTTTGTGTGTCTGTCTGTTTGTGTGTCTGTCCTTTGTGTTTGTGTGTCTGTCCTTTGTGTTTGTGTGTCTGTCTCTTTGTTGGTCTGTCCTTTGTGTTGGTGTGTCTGTCTCTTTGTGTGTCTGTCCTTTGTGTTTGTGTGTCTGTCTCTTTATCGGTCTGTCCTCTGTGTTTGTGTGTCTGTCTGTTTGTAGGTCTGTCCTGTGTTTGTGTGTATGTCTGTTTCTCGGTCTGTCCTCTGTGTTTGTGTGTCTGTCTCTTTGTCGGTCTGTCCTCTGTCTTTGTGTGTCTGTTTCTTTGTAGGTCTGTCCTGTGTGTTTGTCGGGCTGTCTGTCTGTTTGTTGGTCTGTCCTGTGTTTGTGTGTCTGTCTGTTTGTTGGTCTGTCCTGTGTTTGTGTGTCTGTCTCTTTATCGGTCTGTCCTCTGTGTTTGTGTGTATGTCTGTTTCTCGGTCTGTCCTCTGTGTTTGTGTGTTTGTTTCTTTGTCGGTCTGTCCTGTGTGTTTGTCGGTCTGTCTGTCTGTTTGTAGGTCTGTCCTGTGTTTGTGTGTATGTCTGTTTGTAGGTCTGTCATTTGTGTTTGCGTGTTTGTCTCTTTGTCCGTCTATCCTCTGTCTTTGTGTGTCTGTTTCTTTGTAGGTCTGTCCTGTGTGTTTGTCGGTCTGTCTGTCTGTTTGTAGGTCTGTCCTCTGTGTTTGTGTGTATGTCTGTTTGTAGGTGTGTCCTGTGTGTTTGTGTGTCTGTCTCTTTGTCCGTCTATCCTCTGTGTTTGTGTGTCTGTTTCTTTGTCGGTCTGTCCTGTGTGTTTGTCGGTCTGTCTGTCTGTTTGTAGGTCTGTCCTCTGTGTTTGTGTGTATGTCTGTTTGTAGGTGTGTCCTGTGTGTTTGTGTGTCTGTCTCTTTGTCCGTCTATCCTCTGTGTTTGTGTGTCTGTTTCTTTGTCGGTCTGTCCTGTGTGTTTGTCGGTCTGTCTGTCTGTTTGTAGGTCTGTCCTCTGTGTTTGTGTGTATGTCTGTTTGTAGGTCTGTCCTGTGTGTGTGTGTCTGTCTCTTTGTAGGTCTGTCCTCTGTGTTTGTGTGTCTGTCTCTTTGTTGGTTTGTCCTCTGTGTTTGTGTGTCTGTTTCTTTGTCGGTCTGTCCTGTGTGTTTGTGGGTCTTTCTGTCTGTTTGTAGGTCTGTCCGCTGTGTTTGTGTGTATGTCTGTTTGTAGGGGTGTCCTCTGTGTTTGTGTGTCTGTCTCGTTGTTTGTTTGTCCTCTGTGTTTGTGTGTCTGTTTCCTTGTCGGTCTGTCCTGTGTGTTTGTCGGTCTGTCTGTCTGTTTGTCGGTCTGTCCTCTGTGTTTGTGTGTCTGTTTCCTTGTCGGTCTGTCCTGTGTGTTTGTCGGTCTGTCTGTCTGTTTGTAGGTCTGTCCTCTGTGTTTGTGTGTCTGTTTCTTTGTCGGTCTGTCTCTTTGTCGGTCTGTCCTCTGTGTTTGTGTGTTTGTTTCTTTGTCGGTCTGTCCTCTGTCTTTGTGTGTCTGTTTCTTTGTAGGTCTGTGTTTGTGTGTCTGTTTCTTTGTCGGTCTGTCTCTTTGTCGGTCTGTCCTCTGTGTTTGTCAGTCTGTCTGTCTGTTTGTCATTATGTCTGTCTGTTTGTTGGTCTGTCCTCTGTTTGTCCTGTCTGTCTGTTTGTCGGTCTGTCCTCTGTGTTTGTGTGTCTGTTTCTTTGTCGGTCTGTCTCTTTGTCAGTCTGTCCTCTGTGTTTGTCAGTCTGTCTGTCTGTTTGTCGATCTGTCTGTCTGTTTGTTGGTCTGTCCTCTGTTTGTCCTGTCTGTCTGTTTGTCGGTCTGTCCTCTGTGTTTGTCGGTCTGTCTGTCTGTTATGATACAGTACTACAATTTGTTGATAAAAAGTTTGACACAATTAGGAATTGCCTATACATGTACCTTAACATGTTCATATATCTATATAAATTATAAATAGCTGACAACCTTAACTCATTCATCTCTGAAGACACATTTAAACTCTTCTGATTCAAAGGTTGGAATAGTTCATTATGAAATTTCAGGGGGTGAATTAGTTAATATGCTACCTAAAAATACTTAACAGGAATTTGGATATATGTTGTATATATATTTTTCATAAGGATCCTGGACTGGCATGCAAAAAACTTAACTATAGATTTATTGGAAACTTTTATTCCGTAATAACTGTATCTTTGATTGAGTGTTTTATGATATCCATCCAGTAATGTCTTCCCATATCAGATTTGTCCAGTAAAAGTGGAACAATGTGATTAATGCACACTTTCTGATGTTTTTCATTTTCAATAGTTGAAAATGTATATTTGTATGTACATAAATTTCACCCCTGAAGACACATTTTGAACTCTAACAATTCAAAGGTTGGAATATTTTGTCAGAGGTGAACGTGTTAAGATTGGGGCAAAAATGAGAATACAAAGCAAACGAACAAGATTTATATTGTTTTCTAACTGATAATGATATCATCATTTACATCAGCAGATTTGTTTGATTAAAATGAGATGTTTCGAACTTGTAAATGTTTAAATCATCAACTCGCTTGAGGAGGATGGTAGCATTTGAAGGTTACACAAGTATAAGTTAAGCAACTGCAGGTAAAAGAGGGCAAAATATGCATGCTTCAGGGTAAGGTAGGTGATCTGCTAATTAATGTGTCCTTGACCCTGATTGTTTTAGGTCACCCAGCTATACAAATAGGTACTAGTATACTTTGGGAAATTTCATTTGATAGACAGGCTTCCTTTAAAAAGGCAACTTAATTATGTATTTTTAGTATAACTTCAGTGTCACAGAGACGGAAGTTATCATCTTAAATCTTCGTGTCCTGGCTGCAGTTTCATGAATGTTCCTTAACTAAAGACAGTGAGTCGAGGTTTTCAGTTGATCCTTGATTAACACTCAGAGGGTCAACACACATGTCAGATATACATATATATATTCATTCTCAAACTCAAGAGTCAAAGCTCATTTTGAGGAGTCCAAAAGATGTTCTCGGGGATCTACTGAAAGCGCTGAATTCCATCATTTTCTATTGTATAAAGGCACTAAAGGGGTTTTTCCCTGTTAAATTTATGTTAATTTCTCTATATTTTCACTGAGACAATTATGAGTTACAGGCCTGTTATGGGAGTTTAAACAATTTGAAAGTATTCTCAGTAATGTTTCTGAAAAAAATGTGTCCATCTCTCCTGTTTTAGCTTCAGAGGTCCTTGGATGTTAACCTTGTGGTGGTGATGTTTTTGTGAAAAAAGGAATTATAAGAACCATCTTCCTTTCAGATATATAAGACTTCATGTTAGTGATGAATGGTTAAACAGCTCAAAAGTCAGAAAATTACTAACAAACGGGAACACTACTTAATGGTGATACAACACCGAGTGGTCGGACTCTGGCATTGAAGAAACTCCTTCTCAGCATTTTCCCCACTTAAAAGCATCGTTAGAATTAAGGAAAATTTCCTTGAATGAAGGATTTTCTCATAAATCTAGTAATGTTTCTTTTCCATTGAAAAACTGGAGTTAAGGAACAATCTTGAATTTTTTGGTTCTATAGATTGTACATTGTTATCTGATGTACAATCTGTAGACCCAAAAAAATCAAGATTGTTCCTTTGCTCCAGTTTTTCAATGGAAAAGAAACATTACCAGATTAATGGGAAAAATCATCATCCAAGGAAATATTCCTCAATTCTAACAACGCTTTTAAATAAGGAGAATGCTGAGAAGAAGTGATAATCAATTTCCTCTGGAAAAGTGAGAACATACTGATGTGGGCTTGAATGGATTGATGATCTATTGTTTATCTTTGTTTCGTTTCAGTCTCCCGACTATGTCAGTCAAATAAACGGTAATCATGTGACGGCTATCAAGGAGTCCATCTCGGACAACACATCAGGGAAGGAACTGTTTAATACGTGTACACAGTAAGTAGTCGCCTCTGTCTAAAAGTGCTGTAACAAAGTCTGAAGGAATAATTTCTGCTATGCAAGGTCACGCCATATTTATGATAATGATTTGTAATTTGTTGCTTTCGTGTTACCTGCAATGCAGAAGTGAATCCAGTGACATATACATGTAGCTATAGGGATCACTCCATGGCACTCACACAGAAAGTTTCAGTTAAAGTTTCCTTTCTTGAAAGAATATTTACTGCCAAAGAGAGAAATTCTATTTCAGCTTACGTGACTATTTTTTTCCGTAATTTTGATCATGATTATAACACAGAAAATCATTTTTCTGGTCCAAAAATTGCTTAGAATATAAGAATTCTCAAAAGCAGACAGAAAATGTTAAAATCTGTAATTTCAGCTAGGAGAGACTCGGAGAGTTGTTAAACACGTAAATAATCAAGAATCTGGTCAAGGTTGATCTCGGCTCTCCTAGCTATCCAAACTTTGTTTCAACAGACATGATACCTGTATTACATCACGATAATCTATAGTTACTACTGTGTGGGTAGGAATGGTGAAAAAACCAGTCCAATCGGCTCGGTTGTTGTATAACGGTGCTCTAATACCTCGTAATGGCCCAATAATGTCATTGTTGCAAGCCTGGAGTAATTACTTAGAGCCATTAAGCCAAACGTAATTATAGCTGTTTCGGTTGTAACAGAATATAGGTACCTACAGTACAGGTACACTAACCCATGTCTGTTTATCAACTCATCAGCTCAGACCCAAGGGGCCGAGGGAGCTAATAACAGGGCACATTGACTGACTTCGTACAAAACTACGTACTTAAAAACCACAATAGAAATTATGAGCAAATTTTTATTTGGAGATGCCCATTCGTGATAAGGGTATAAATAAAAGGTGTATGAAGCTCCCTTTGGGGTATGTATAAAAGCATGAGCTGGGGTTATAAGGGGAAAAGGGATAAAAGTATATATTTTGTTCTTTTGTCCCAATCTGTCCTTGGCGATTGTTAATGAAAATAGGTGCAAACCATCATCTCATGACCAGTTGTTATTTTTCAGGCTGATTTAAAATCCAAGATAGCTGCTTCGGCCTACGATTGGTTGAAACATTTTCGACTATTTCTCAATTTTTACCAGATCAGTTTTAGCCAAATGTGGTACGCAAGTGTTCCTTTCATAGCCGGTACATAGTTTGATTAGCTCAAATCCTTAGGTAGGTCATTAATGATTAGAAATATGAGATGGCTACCTAAATAGCTGAAATAAACTAAAACATGTATTCTTCTTGTAAAGTTAAGATAATTATAGAATTGGATGAGCAATCCTCTAGCTGCCATATGGGTCCCTTTGTTTCTACAAGGTATTGTTTTACTGTCTCTCTAACCAGCTGAGCCGAGTGATTAAGGCGTCTGACATTCCGCTACCACTAGCCCTCCACCACTGGGTTGCGGGTTTGAGGCCTATGTGGGGCAGTCGCCAGGTACTGGCCGTAGGTTGGTGGTTTGTCTCGGGGGAACTCCAGCTTTCCTCCACCACCAAAACCTTGCACGTCTTTAAATGACCATAGCTGTCAATAGGACGTATAACACAAACAAACAAAAAACATAACCAGGAGCTTAAATAAGGGGAGGTAATTACTGTTTATAAGGGAAACCAGAGTACAGTGGGACTGGGATCCTTAAAATGTTAAAAAAAATAATTCTCAAAAGTACCCGAATAAGATTCCACTGTGAACGATTTTCATTTAACCATTGTTTGTATCTTTTATCTTTCAGGATAATTTTAGAATATTTACATGGAGAGCCGTTCAGAGATTTTTTAGATAGTATGTATTTTAAGCGGTATCTACAGTGGAAGTGGCTGGAAGGGTAAGTAGCTTTTAATTGTCACATAGCAGTAATGTTCTGGCCGATGCTTTTGGACAATTCTTAAAAATATTTTCATTATATTTTCAACTTGATTTTGCCTAATGGAAGTGTAAACTATTAAATACTTAACACATGCTAACTCATTCACCCCTGAAATTTCATAATGAACTATACCAACCTTTGAATTGGAAGAGTTCAAATGTGGTTTCAGGGGTGAGTGAGTTTAAACAGGCTGTATTGTTTCAAATATGCAACAATACAGAAAGAATGGGAATATCATATCGGGTCATGTGGAACTTCTTCAAAATTTACGTAAACAGAGTTTCGTCACTCACAATTGTCCTCTAGTCCAGGGCTAGATTTCAGCAATGACTTGTTAACCCTTTCACCCCTATGTAACTTTAGTAGACTCGACTATGCATTGATATAGATGAGCACATTATGATCTACGGTGATGAAAGGATTAATCACCAAACCTAACTGAACCTTTGGTCTTGTGAAATTATAATATAAGAATATTCCTTTTGGAAAACTGCTTAAAATACAGACATACTGCATGACAGTTGTCAAGATTTTCCTGAAGCTTCACATTGTCGATCACGGCAGTACGTATTTATTATTAATGTTGACCACTTTTAACTATGTGTTATGTTCCGTGCTTGAGATGTTTCCTTGAGGAAATCTTGGTCTAATTAAATTGACATAGGACAGGCAAATAATCTGTTCATCTAGTGACTAGTAATACCAGGCAAAAATAGCTAGTGTCTACCCCTGATAATAAATACACATTGCATATCAAGAACAAAGGAGGTAAATCTAACTGTAATCTGAAATGTCTGCAACGTAGATTTTATGTATGTTAATTAGATACAGGTAGATGTAGTTGAGTGCTATTAAAGAAGTAATAATATCATGAAATTATGTTTTTTATTTTGACAAATGTAAATTAATTGTGAAAAGTATGGGTTTTGAGCATATCATTTTGTAATGTTTTTAATTCGTTAAATTAATTCATAAATTGGTCTGATTATTCTCAATCTTGCCAATGTCAAAAAACGATTCCTTATTGTAGTGAATGTAACTATTAAAACAGGAAAAAATCACATTACTAAAGAGGCTGTTATATTTTGCTGATTTCTTGTGTTTCAGACAACCTGTGACCAAGAATACGTTTCGGATGTACCGGGTTTTGGGGAAGGGTGGGTTCGGGGAGGTGTGTGCTTGTCAGGTGAGGGCTACTGGGAAAATGTATGCATGTAAAAAGCTGGAAAAGAAGAGGATAAAGAAGAGGAATGGAGAGAGGATGGCTCTCAATGAAAAACAGATTCTACAAAAAGTCAATTCACGGTTTGTTGTAAGTATAAAATTCCATAGTTGGTTTCACAAATTTGAGATCACTGGTGTAAAAATGTGAATGTACGCTGTAGAAAGGAGGCTAGGTAAATATATAAGGAACCCTATACCACTGCCAAAAACTGGGATTATGCATTGGAAACTCTGTTTCAGGCATAATAGCTTTGATCAATCATTTCTGAAAAAAAAGTGCCAAACCTTACTGAACTGTTATGAAAAAAAGATGAAATAGACAAAATGTAAACAATAATGCAATTGGTCAAGATCAGTATTCATTGAAATGGACAAAATGTAATCAACCGTGTCAAACCCTGGAACGCCGATTAATACACTGTTGCTCTAGCCAACAGAGCTACCTTGTCAACGAATTTATAAGCACATTTATTTGTTTTTTCATGGATTATTTCAGATTTCACCTTTTAAAATTTTCCCCAGAATATGTTGCAAATGACTTTGTTGAGTGTACATGGTGGCTGGACTGTAGGGTTACTGTGTGGTCGTTAAGCTAAGTTGTGTTGTACACTGTACTGGCTAACACACCGGTGTATATTTGTGGCTGTATGATGTGCTAGTCCCTAAAACCCAGGTGGTCGCGTTGTGTGCACTAGTGCAGAGATAAAAACTTTATTACTGCCACTTTTACGGTGTTTTTATAGTCCACATGTATACAATGTACACATACATGCCAAACTGATTCCTTGTTTTGTTGGAGTTAACTCCCTTACACCCAATAAACTGATCTCTTAACACCAATAACCTTAACCCATTCACCCCGAAAGTCAGATTTGAACCTTACCAAATCAAAAGAATGGGCAAGTCCAGTTTAAATATATAGGGGTGAATGAGTTCAGCTTCCAGCTTTTGAACTATGTTGACACTTAGGGTGCTGGATTTCATACATTATTCTATACATGAAGAGACTGTTAAAGGTTGTTAGAAGTTCTTCAATTCTCAAGATTATGTCTACAAGGAATCAAGTGTTATTGTTGAAAATTGATTTAAGTTGTCAAACTCGACTACTACCAGTGTAGATTCAGGGGATCTTTGTCAGGTATGTGCATCTGAAACAAAGGTGACAGGCCAAAAATGAATGTTGGTTTACTAAATCTCGACCTGCCCAATTATTTTACCCTCGACCCTAAGCTTTTTATTGGTGCGTTTTGAATTATGAAACTAAGACTTTGAAATGACAGTCAAAACAAGCACGAAAGTATCTGCATCTTGTTTATGGAGATAATAGATCCTTTCTGTAGCTTATAAACCATTTATGAAAACCAATGAATTGTATAAGCTGTATCTCCTAATCTGCTATGATATCTGGATTTTGGCAGCCAATGGATCTCTTCTGTGTTGTTTTATTATGGATTGCTATAGCTTAATTCTTCATCCCTACTGGTACAAGTAGCAACACCAGTAGAAAAAACCAGTGATAATTGTAAGTCCTTACTTTCGTTGAAATTGGCCTAAATAAGTGTTAATGATTCTGGTGTTAAGGTCAGTTTGGGCTGCTGTAATATTAAAGGTGGACATAGTAAAAATGTCTACTTTCAAGTAGACACCCATGCCCCTGTGGATAATGGATCCCTTTTGATAACATAATTATACTTAATAAGCTTTTCCCTAGAATTTTTAAAGCGGAGATATATAAGTATTTTTATTTACAGTGTCTTTGACTTATCCCGTGAAGTTGTTTGCTGATAAAAACGCTGTTTCTGTTTCCCAGGTTAGCCTAGCCTATGCATTTGAAACCAAAGAGGCGTTGTGTCTAGTATTAACTCTGATGAACGGGGGCGACCTCAAGTTCCACATCCACAATATGGGGAACCCTGGCTTTGAAGAGGAGCGGGCAGTCTTCTGTGCGGCCGAAATCACATGTGGTCTGGAGGACCTCCAACAGAAGAGGATTGTGTACAGGTCTGTTGAGTCTCAAAACATAAATTGCAAATTATATCAAACCTTATTAAACCTGTTTGTTAGAATAATAACATACGCCAGGAAAATATTGTTGTGAAACATCCACCTTTCACATGTGACATCCATATTTGCTCAGTGTTATAATTTCACCTATCACTATAGAAATGTTATGCATATAGTCACCTGTGTGCTAAAATATTGCAGTCTTGATAAATTTACCCTGACATTATGAATGTTCGAAACATTTAAAATTAAACCCAATTACCCTATACACATAATAAAGTCTGTGAAATAACACCGAGTAATTATGCAAACTATCATTTTGTTGAAGTTGTTCTTTATTCTGGTCAGTATTTATATACAGGAAAATAATTCAATAAATATCTGAAAAAGAAATCTGCATAATTTTCTTCATTTTCAAGTATTAAATGTGTCGCATTCAGTGCATGTAATCACAGGGACTTTTAAATTTCATATCTTATCTCCGTATTTTGGATGCTGTCATGGACTTTGTGGAAATCTGAAATAGTGATAATAAAGTTGATTATTATCTGTCAACATCTACGAAAGCATGAAGCAGAATTTTACATATTTTTTGAATAATTTGATTATTATCGGTCAACATCTACGAAAGCATGAAGCAGAATTCTACATATTTTTTGAATATTTTATGACAAATTGTAAAATTTTGCCATCCAGAGTTTCAATAGGGTCTTTTAACCCTTTCATCCCCACACATTGACCTGGATGAGTCAATTATGGTCTGCAGTGGTGAAAGGATTGATAATTAATTCACTGATCAGTCTTGAGATCTGCTGAAAGATACTTGTATTTGTTTGGAAATTCTTGATTATTGTTGCAGCATATGCAGAAATAATTTATGATATAGGAACAACTAAAGTTATATTTAGCTCATCATAAATGTCAACTTTGACTGTTTGTTTTTACAGAGATTTGAAACCTGAAAATATTCTCCTTGACGACTTTGGTAAGTATTCAATATCTGTCCGTATTCATTATCTGTTTATAAGTATTCAAAATTTGTTGTTATACATATATTATTAAACAGATTCTTTGGCCTAGTTTTACAGTTTGAATACAGACTGCTTCCCCTGACAAGAAAGTGCTTTATTTTCCCCCAAATGAAGAAAAAAATATAACTGTCTTCCCAATTTTGATAAAAAAAATCATGCTATATTTTTCCCAATTCATGTAAGAACAGGTTTTTGTAAAATTTAGATAGAAAAAACACTTGAAGAATATCAAATTCAAATATTAATTTACACTTGACTAAAGTCCTTTAAATTGGAACTGATGTGGAAAATAAGTCTATGGTTCGTGGTTTTACAGGTCACCTAAGGATTTCTGATCTGGGACTAGCAGAGGAGGTCCCAGACGGAGAGACCATCAAAGGTCGTGTCGGAACGGTGGGGTACATGGGTAAGTGGTTTTAGACTGGAAGAACAGTCATGCTTGAATTAGGATATGTAGGAATGTAGTCCAATCGGAGAACCTCTCCTGGTTCCTCTTTAAAGTGTGAGGTACAGTATGAAAGGGGAGGGGAGGGTTGGTCACGCTTGAATTATAATGTGTAGGAATGTATTCAAATCTAGAAAAGCCTCCTGGTTCCCTGTGAAGTTAGAGGTACGTGAAAGGGTAGGGTTGGTCATGTTTAAATTAGGATATGACGGTAGGTAAATCAGTCGCAGAAAATAAATCCCCTCCTGCTTCTCTGAAAAGTGCAAGATAGTAGAAAGAGAGACCATTAAAGGCTGTGTTAAAATAATAGAATTCATTGGGAAATGAAATCCCTTCCTGTTACTTGATTAAGTATGGGATTATAACATTATTGATAAAATGAAAAGTTGATGAAAAAATGTATACATCCTAATTATTTTTGACAAAATTATGGAATCATGAATTCTATTTACTCGTAATGAAAAGATAAATGATAATGTCACCCTGGTAAAATACTAGTTGCTTCCTACTGACTCATCTAGGGAGAATTTCTCTTTAGCTCATTTGGTAGAGTATAAGACTAGTTAGTAAACCAGAGGTCAAGGGATCGACTCCTAGTGGAGGCATTGAAAAAGTAACGATCTCTTGTTACAATAATAGCATATAGAAAATATTTTGCCTGTGTGATTTGCGAGACTGTCCAATGATAATTTCAACATCAATGTGGAGCTGCTCCCTTGATAGCAGAGGCTTTGTATTTACAGCTCCGGAGGTGGTGAAGAATGAGCGGTACTCCTTTAGCCCGGACTGGTGGGGACTCGGCTGTATAATATACGAAATGATCGAGGGCAAGGTATGTCGCACAAATGGCCGCAGCTTAGTGTACAAACCTGCTTCTCTGAATATGTTACAGTGTCGTCTCCATATTTCATTGTTTTTAGTCATTCGTCAATGTCGTAACCTTGATAAACTGTGAGATTTGAAATTATAACATCAGAAATGTCCATAAGACTTTTTGTGGCATTGACATTTGAATATCGGAGAGTAATTTTAAGATATTACCGAGTTTGAATTCAAACGGAAATAATCCACAATGGCCGATCTTCTTTTTTAAGCAATCATTACAAATTTTAACCAATGAATTTGCATTTTTTTTTGTTACAAAGCATTCACATTACTCTTAAATGTGAGATTTTGCAAAAGATAGCTTCAATGAATGAAAAAGATCAAAGGATATTTTTGAACCAATCCCACAGATACATATGACTCCTCTTAGCTCTGGAGCAAGGTGAATGTATGGAATTGCACCTTGTGTTGTAAGAGTATGTGACGATGTAATTTGTACTATTATTACACTTTGTAATATCCGCAGAGTCCGTTCAGGGCAAGGAAGGAGAAAGTGAAGCGTGACGAGGTTGATCGTCGTGTGCGGGAGGACCGCGAGGTATACTCATCCAAATTCTCCGACGACTGCAGGGATGTATGTACTCAGGTGAGTTACACATTTACATGGATTTCTTAAAACCCTTTCATCCCTATGTAACTATAGTAGACTCTACCATCATTGATCTGGATGATCCGTTGGCAGTCCTAGCAACAGTATGACAACAATACACATATGTAGTTCCATTTCCAAAACTTTTTGTCTCGCCACCACAATATAATTACAGTGTTTGAGTTTGGTGTCGGCGAAGTCAGGCTTCACTCTACTTTGTTATAGAAGTTGAGGTTTCTGGTTTATATCTCTGCAGCTTTTACAAAAAGACCCGAACCTCAGACTAGGTTGTACCTGTGGAAAAAATGGTGCCAAAGCGGTGAAAGGCCATCAATTCTTCAAAGCGACCAACTTCAGGCGGTTACAGGCTGGAGTGTGTGACCCACCCTTTGTACCAGATGTAAGTTTTGTCCGAATCCCATGTGATCGGAACTTTAGATTCGACTCCTGACGTCGGATGACATATTAGCTCTATAGAAGCCTTAACTCATTCACCCCTGAAGACACATTTGAACTCTTCCAATTCAAAGGTTTGAAAAGTTCATTATGCAGGGGTGAGTGAGTTAAATATTTTTGATTGCTAAGTCATGTGACCAAATTATTGTGGCTCAACTGTGTAGTCAACGCCCCCTTCTCATTTAAGGTTGTATGCTACATTACATATTATACTAATGATTTGTTATGAGTTTTCTTCTTTATAATGAATATCATCAATGTGAGATGCACTTCTGTGTACTTTTCAAAGAATATAATGGATAAGTCTTCAATATAACAACAACCAGACCATTTGTCGAATTTTACAATTGTCCTTAATTTTCTGCATTATCCATTACTAAAACTAATAATGACAATAAATCGGTGCGAAATAGGGATGCTCCAGATCGAGTGAAAATCCTCCAAAAATGGTGTAGAGCTGTGGAAAAAAAAGGATATTTTCAGACCAAGAAAATTAGTTTTGAAATATGAGTAGGTCAGTGTAAAATCATCCTCGATATCCAGGGGTTACGCTCACTTTCGCTCTCTACACCACTGGAACATGTCGTAGCAAAATTGAAGGCTCGGTGTGCGCCACTTTGTGGATGAACAGAGAAGACTAGTTTGTTCCTTTGATGTACATCAAAAGAATCTCGCAGTCACTAACAGTAAACATTAACAGGCTTTGAAGTCGGGCATCTCTCCTTTGTAAGCTTCAAAGGACAGGTATCAGCCTAGCGATTGGTCAGGTGTTATTTTTACCGGAGACCAATCAAACAGCTATCATTGTGCCTTCAATTTTGCTACAACATATTCCAGCGGTGTAGAGAGTGAAAGTGAATGTAACCCTGGATATCGAGGATGGTGTAAAACCTGAACATGTACACAACTAACAGAAACTGTCCTGCTCATATTTCAATATTTGGACTGTTTTCCAGTTATCTCCCTTTAGCAGTGTAAATTTCAAAACATCCTTAGTTGGATTTTCATTTCAATTATCTCATCTTTAATAGGTTATTTTCAATAAACAGTTTTTTGTTTTTTTAAATAGTACCTGTCCTAAAAATCCCTTTTTTTTTAGGTTTCAAAGAATTAAATTCTTTTAGAAATGAGAGGTGAGTTTGTTCTTTTATACCACATGCCTGAAAGCCCTGACTTATTCTGTTGTATATTCAGAGGAGGGCTGTATACTGCAAGGATGTCCTTGATATTGAGCAATTCTCAACAGTGAAGGGCGTGAACCTTGACCCCAGCGACGACCGATTTTATAGCAATTTTAGTACTGGAAGTGTGTCAATCCCCTGGCAGAATGAGGTAATTTTTGGTACACAGGACGCATGTAATGATCGTATTAAATAAATGTTATCATAATAAAGCGAAGAACTTATTTAGGGAATGCCCGTTTAAGTGAGGAATTGCAATCATGTGTAAAATGATTAAAATCGTAATTGGAAAAACCAAATAAGGATTAATATTTAAGTGGCAAAATACGAAACTACCTCAGTCTGTAGTTACCATGTCAGATGTACCAAATTACTGAGTTGTTCAACTTGCGAATTACGCAATTTCATCGCAGTGAAAAGTGTTGTACTGGCACAGTTGTAGAAATGTTGAAGTTTTCTGCCACACTCACGAAATAAGAATGTTATTAAATGGGAAATAATTGGACCTCTTCTATTTATCTTGATGACTTCGTTTCCAGTAAAACTTTCTATAGATAGAACGGCTATCTTGTAGTTGTAAACACCTTCATATATTGACATCGTTCATAATGTTGGTGATGATGAAGACAACCAGGCAACGCTGTTCATGGTGCGATGTTTGCTATGGCTATCGGGTGGGTTTTTATATAGTTGGAATGTCATGAGAACGTTACAAACTGTTTTCTGCAGATGATTGAGACGGACTGCTTCAAGGAGTTGAACACATTCGGTGAGAACGACAGTCCCCCTCCTGACCTGATGGAGGACCAACCTCCTCCCCCGCATCGCACCGGGCTCCTCGACAGGATCTTCAGGCGACAGAGGGTATGTATAAATGTCAAGACTCTTTTACTCCTATTTCCTCTTGATGTCAAATTGAAGGGATAGACTTACTGCGAGTGTTACACAGGACTTTTCCTTGATGTCAACAGAACAGTGTTAGGTTAGACATTATCACATTTTGAATCTTAGAAGACAAGAGAGAGTTCAATACTTTTGCATGTGCAAAGCTTTGTGCTGCTTTGGAAAATGCAAATTAGCGAACATTATGACAGCATTGGTATTCCTATTGATATAATTTAAATTGAATTGCTCAAGCACTCAACCTATTGAGCTACGAGTGAGTTCATTCTTGCATTTTAGTGAATGTCATGTGTATACCTGGATATTCAGAAATGTTTCATAATTATCTGTAACTTGTAAGAAAGACACAAAGGATTTAGGAGTTATTTTTATTTTGTCTTGCAGACAATACCTGTGATTTGTATGTAAGTTTTTTTGTCATAAAAAGGGTCTTTTTCACATTTTCAAATTACCTTTCATAAAAGGGATTTTACAGGTTTTGTGTGTGTAGAAAGGAACAAGCTAATTTTTCCTTTAATTAATTAATCCCCCGGTGTGTATAAAACTTATTATTTTACACAAATAATTTGCCTGTTTGATGAAATTATTTTGTTTGTTTACTTTGCAGCATCGAGACACCCACTGACGACTATGAATCTCCTGTGCACCGTCATGTCTGTTGTAACATACTGGTACCTTGGAAAGCGTATCTTATTTCTACAATTTCATCGTGATACCCAGTGACAACCGGAATACTTGTGATAAGAGTATTATTGTGAATGTAGAAAATAAGTTTTGTTGTAGAGGACGGGGTACCAATGGAAGGGATGGTTAAAATAGGGATACAACTGACCCAGAATTTATTTGTATGGGAACAGACTAGAGTTAATCGTCAGTAGTCTCCCCTGTATAGAATCGTGCAGCTACACTTACGACACACTCCCCCCGTGGCTTCATGTCAAGGTCATCCAGAATTAGCTGGTGTTGATGGACACTTCTACCCCTGCAGGCCAGTACTAGTATTCTTAGATTAACCAATGGCATTCAAGGTGACTTCATCAAACCACCATATTGTTGAAATGTCTTGGTGAATTTCATTGGTTGAGAGAACTATATTTTAAAATTTTAAAACATTCTGTGAATATATGAGAAAAAAATTAGTTTGGTTGAAGGTTAAATTCAGGTGTACAAGTGAAATTCCTTGCTGGAATGGATGCCTGATGTATCTTTCACGATCATCAACTGTGTTAGGGAATTTCGTTGTTCAAGGATAAATGTTGTTGCTTATCGTTGACTGCAACATTCATTGGTGAAATGGATATGTAGTGTTGTAACTCGGGGACGTGTTCCCTGTCTGTGTAGTACAGTATAGAGCCCAGTATGGGTTAGCGTATGTATTCTAGTCTCGGTGTGTAATGCGAACTCTCTGTGCGAGGATTCAACCCGCAGTGTGCGTGGATGATGTGTTGATGACACTGCTCTGACTTGCCATGAATTGTCTCCCCTAGGTTATCGTGATATGGCGCATACAAGATATATATTAGTGAGAAGTGTATGGATATATATTGTGTTTTTAATTATTGAGGTATGATATTGTATCATCTGTGCTGTAAAAACCTGTCATGTTCTTTACGTATCTCTGTCTCCAGATGTCGGTTGACACAATGAAGGTTGCTTTAGATCAAATTAAAATGGTCGTATTCTAAATAAATTCTCAATGTGTCAAAATCATCAATGTGTGAAAAATCAAGGAAAAACAAGACATGTATGTATACGGAATATCGGAGATTGGTTGAATTTTAGAAAACTGATACAGTGTACTAGAACTGAACTGAAAATTCTCTGTATTCAAAGTTTAGCAAAATATTAAGTATATGTTTGGAATATCAAAGATTGATCTCGTTAAGTTTCAGTTTTGTATTCAGAATTTAGCATGTATGATGGAATATTAAACAAAGTCTGCATATTCAAAATTTTGCCAAATATCAAGCATTTAGAAATTAATATGTATAACGCATATCAAATTTGAATCAGTTTTTGAAAGCAGATATCATATAATTTCCATAGTAGGTTGTTTTATGCTTGTAACTTCTACACTAGATTTGCACTGCAAGGTTACTTTTCATTGGATGATATTGTAAGCCAATCATCTGATCTGTTACATTTCAAATAAAAAGTAGTTCGTGACAGTTCATTTCCTATGCATTTTCAAAAATTTCTCAATTTGAATTTGTGGAAAAGTATTTCATCATGAACTCTCTATTTTTCGGGAAATTATCTTTTTTTTAAGCCAAAACAAACTAATTGCAATTTAAATCTAATGGATGTTACCTAAGACAGAATAAGACAGGTTTTTCTGCACATTTGAAATGTTTTTGTTTTGTTAAAATTTGTTCATTGACTGGTACAACATGAGATGTTCTTTATGCTCGTATATGTGTGTTACACACATGCACTTGTACCCTATATCATTATGATAATGCATGTTTTAGAGATTAATGAAGGAAAACTAACTACATTTTTCAAAGATTGTGTTTTTTTGTGAATTGAACTTAGTGCTGTGTCAAACGGAAACTTACGGTATTGTTTCCCGGAACATTTACAGCGATGTTTTGTAAATGTTTTTGTTTATTGAATAGTATTTGTATTTTTACAGTTCTTCATATTATGATTTATAGTGTAAACAAACATTTTACCTTTCACCAATAACATGTTCCTTCATTGTAAATGTCGGTTATTTTGTTCCGTTCAATCCTCGTCATGTCTGATAAAAAGATGGATCCTGCTACCTCATCCCCGTTTGTCACCACTTGTGAAATTACGACAGAAAACAAACATGATTAATTAGCCTTTCTTATACTGCGAAACCTGTCCAATCTGATTCCAGATTATTCCAACGTACGGTCTAATCCAACGTCATGCTATAATCCCATTTCTAATAAGAACTGCCAAATAAGCTCTGTGTATTCTGACATACTATATAATCTGACCAATGTGTTGTTTCCCGTGGAGTGTCAGATAGGATTCACACTTGGGTTGTAGCCTTCCTATTTACAGACAATAGACAGGTTTTAGAGAATCTGAAGATGGCCTGATTTTTTTTTTTTTAAAGTTGGAAAATCACAACAGCTGATCTACTGATGTTCCTCAGTGTTAAACGACCAGGAGTACTGCTGCATTTCTTCCTAGCTGACTGTGGACAAAGTGCTTGAATTGTAGAATCAAAAAGACACCACATCTGCATACTGCAGACTTAGGCCAAATAAAATTAATTACTTGGTTCTCAGGCCAATTTTTTTCAAAACAGATGTGGCAGGGAGGTATTCTTTTTCTCCATTTTACATGGCAAAAACGAGACGAGGGCGATTTTTTTTTTATTGTGTAGTTTGTAAAACGTTCATTGTGGGCATAACCTTGTCTTTTTATGGTTGTGTAGAGACCCGTCATAGAGCAAGCCTCCGAAAATCCCCACACAGATGTTCCAGACGAGAATCACGAACCCCCCATTCCTTATTTGTACCAAAATGAGCGCCATTTGTACACAAGACTAATAAGTCATAATCGTTTTAACCCTTGCCTGTATATCGATCCTTATCTTTATTCAAACGTTTTCGGGACTTGGGTGACTAACGAGTAAAAATGACATGCGGACCAATTTTGCGTATTTTTTTAAAGACGGCTGCTGGCGCATTCACAATTTTGTTTTTATTACTTTCACGATAAAATCGGCAATGTGGTGCCTTAAAATGAAATGCGCGCGATCCTGAGAACCAATTTATCAATTTGTTTTGGCCTTACTAAATTTCTTAAATATTGTTTTCATTTCAAACCTCATAAAAATTCCATATGATCTAATTAAAACTGCATGAAGGAGAGGGCTTTCTTAGACTTTGCCTTGTTGCTCAGTTCTTATGGTATGAAAGACCTGTACAATAAGAAAATCAATTATTATAAAATAATATATTCTTAAATGAAAAATAGTAATCATAAAAGAATATATTCTGAAATGTGAAAAAATATCCTAACTGCACTACAGTACAATGATTTCCGATGAAAAACGGATGATCCTAAAAGATATTTTGAGACTTTTTCTGCATACATGAGTGATGGAAGCTGGTCTTACATCAGTTGTGTTCACATTAATATTATACAAAACAGATTTTGTATTGGTTTTAACTTTTATGAAGCTGGTCTTTTCTTGAAGCTTGTACATCCTGTATTAGCATCAAATCATACGTTTAATAAAGCTGGTCTTTTGTCAAAAGCTGGTCTTTGCCCTAAGAAACAGAATAAACATAATATATAAAGCTGGTCTTTGCCCTAAGAAACAGAATAAACAGAATATATAAAGCTGGTCTTTGCCCTAAGAAAAAGAATATATAAAGCTGGTCTTTTCATGGAAGCTGGTCTTTGCACAAGTTAAAGATAAAGCTGGTCTTTTCAATAAAAAAGCTGGTCTTTGCAAAAGGAAACTCAAGGTCAACAGAGAGTTGTTAAAAATTAATCGGGTAAATGCTTCAGCATTATAGCTGGTTTTCTTTCAAGAGGCACATTCTGTGCACAAGGTATAGCTCCAATCTTAAGGGTTTCTTAGGTACAGGAATGCAGTCTTTGGTACTAGAATGCAAGACAGGTATTAAATAAGTTCTGTTTTTTCTTAACCCTTTCACCACTATAGACCATAATGGACGTATCCAGATCAATGCATGGTAGAGGTTATGAAAGTTTTATCGGGGTGAAAGGGTTAAAGAAACATATTCAATGAGTCCAACCTAAATTAACCTAGATTATGAATAACCATGTTGACAGTTGTCATGGTTACGATTCAATGTTAATAAATGGGTGCCCTATCACTAATTAAGACTTTTACATTTTGATAGTTAATATAAGGCCTTAAAGTTTTCATTTTTTTTCTACTTTTTTTTGCCTATCAATGCAAGAATGATTTTGAATTTTGATCAGTTTATGACAAAATGTGGTGAGGCTTTTAGCAGTCTTCCGTTTGTTTTGCAATTGTATATTTTTTTTGGTGGTGACATTGATTATGATATTTAAAATTAGAAATATGAGCACATTGTTAAAACACACTCAAGTTCACACGATTTTAATACGGGACTTAAGGTCCCAAGCACGTAGGATAATTTAAATAAAAAACCCTGTATAAATGAGATCATGAAGAAATGGTAATCGCTTCAGAAAACCCCCATCAGGTTTTGTAATTGAAGATTTTTAGTTGTTGATAATCACAAACATGTTTTTAGAGTTTGTTACTGAAGACCAAGGAGTAATATTTTTATAAAAGATTAAAACCAGTTTGTCTGGCTTTGTTTACAATTTGTCTTTTTCGTGATTAGTAAATCTATATGCAGCATTTTACAAAGTCTTTTGTATGTCTGCATTGATGAAAACCTGGTTTAAGGTGGTAGTTTTTTTTTCAACAAATTTTGCAGTTCAACTTTCACTGGAGCATAGAAGAGCATAACGATTTGTGACATTTTGTTACTGGTATTTTTGTTTTAAAATTGTATTGGTCTAAAGTTGAGTCAGGAAGAACTTTCATATCACAGAAGTTCCAACATCTGTTGGCTAACTACAATGTCTAGTGTCAAGTAAGATGCAGCTGGTCTGCATACAATCCATTATATAATTGACCTGATGTGAAACTTTTGTTAAAATAATGAAGAAGTTAACTATCCAGTAAGGATTAAAAAATTGAAAACTTTATTAACATGGGGGAAATTAGGAGTTAACACCTTAATTAACATAATGTTAAAATCAATAGTTTATGATCAATGTATAATAACACTAACTGCCCTTTGAAAATTACATACATATGCTTTAGCTCTTTCTCACTTAAAGATTTAAAGGAACTGTAAAAGCACTCGGTATTAAAATTTGAAGTAAATGCATAAAGCAACTTTCTTTCAGTAGGCATTGCTATTGTACTACTGACTAAGCCCTACCTGGCATTGCTATTGTAGTACTGACTTGGCTCTATTGGGCATCGCTATTGTAGCACTTACTATGCCCTACCTAGCATCGCTATTTAAGCACTAACTATGCCCTACCTGGCATCGCTATTGTACTACTGACTAAGCCCTTAAAGGCATTGCTATTGTAGTACTGACTTAGCTCTATTGGGCATCGCTACTGTAGCACTTACTATGCCCTACCTAGCATTGCTATTTAAGCACTAACTATGCCCTACCTGGCATCGCTATTGTAGTATTGACTATGCCCTACCTGGCATCGCTATTGTAATACTGACTTTGCTCTATTGGGCATCACTATTGTAGCACTAACTAAGCCCTACCTGGCATCACTATTGTAGCACTAACTATGCCCTACCTGGCATCGCTATTATAGCACTAAGTATGCCCTACCTGACATCTTTATTGTAGTACTGATAATGCCCTACCTGGCATTGCTATTGTAGTACTGACTTGGCTCTATTGGGCATCACTATTGTAGCACTAACTATGCCCTCCAAGGCATCACTATTGTAGTACTGACGTGGCTCTATTGGGCATCGCTATTGTAGCACTAACTATGCCCTACCTGGCATCGCTATTTTAAAATTAACTATGCCCTACCTGGAATCGCTATTTTGTACTGACTAATCCTTTCAAGGCATTGCTATCTTAGTACTGACTTAGCTCTATTGGGCGTTGTTATTGTAGCACTAACCATGCCCTACCTGGCATCGCTATTGTAGTACTGACTTGGCTCTATTGGGCATCACTATTGTAGCACTTACTATGCCCTACCTGGCATTGCTATTGTAGAACTAACTGAGCCCTACAAGGCATTGCTATTTAGGGTTCACTGTTGCAGTATTGATGTCTTTGAACTATCAGATATCTTAAACAATACAGGACCAATGATTATTAATTTAAGTCTGTGACATTTTTGAGATGATAGTTTTTCATTCTCAGATTTTTTTTGAAACTCCATCCCCACCCCCTTTCCACATTGCTGTTCAGTGTTAAATCTTAATTTATGACAAACTTCCCTGTGATTTGCATATTCATGATGAATTAAGTAATTTGCATATTCATGATGAATTAAGTAATTTGCATATTCATAATGAATCAAGTTATTTGCATATTCATGATGAATGAAGTGATTTGCATATTCATGATGAATGAAGTGATTTGCATATTCATGGTTCAGAACAGTACCTGTAGTTGTCCAATCCCAGTGTTTGTGGGCATGAGCTATGTAAGTGGGTGACACATTGAATATTGTTTGTCCCGCCTCCCCTGAATCTCGGCCTCTAGCTTGCTGTAGAATCTCCTCATTAATCTGTAATCTATATATCCATGCCCCTTTGTTGCCCCTGTACATCTACATATGCCACCCCACATGTTCAAATTACACATGTCAACTGTTGTTTGTTTACTCATTGTATATGTGTATGTTACACATGTGTCAGATATAGCACATGTGCCTTCCATGTGTCAAAATATTCATAGTATTGGCTTAAGCCTAGCTGCCTGATACCATACTTGGAAGAGTTCTCTCCCCTAGGGTAAAATGTTTCATACTTGCCTTGAATTTTTGTGTTCTCCTGAATCTTGATTGGCAGTCTTATAATAGCCAGCATCAATGACTTTCTGTTGAAATGTAGCTTCAATACTTACTTTTGACCCGTTGTGTATAACTAATTGGTGGAATGATACCCTGAAAATAAAATGATGTGCATAAATGATGTTGTCAAATAATATGAGAAACAACAGATGCACCTAACATTTTTTTCCCCACAAGTTGCCAGATTTACAAAATAGTTTGCATCTCAATACTCCAATAATATTTCCTATAAATAGTTCCTATAAAAGATTCTAAATAGAAATAAGTGAAATTATACTGTAGTGTATTTCTGTATTGATTGACTAAATGGAATATATTCTAATGAGATCACACTTATCTTATATTTCTTTGATATCGGGTTAAAAGAAATAAGTGTCACTGAAATATTCTTGAATCAAATAATTATATTGCGCATCAAAAAACGTATGTAACATGTTTCCTTTCTAGTTTCCATACAGAACTTCAGTGTTTTGAAGTTTATGTTATGAACACCTGAATTTTGAGATTTATCTCTCTTTTTTTTTCACCAGAAAAAAATATTTGAAACTTTTTGAACGTGCTGCGCGATCCAGCATGGTACAGTGAATTTGGGAGCCAAATTTAGCTTTGTAGTTCCTATGGAAACATTTTATTTTTGAATATCCAGTTACAAAAAAGACTTAGTTCCTTGTATTAAGCTCTGGATTAATATGTTCGGGGTACATATACTTTTGTTTCAAGATACGCCAGGTTTATTTTGAAGTCTGTTTTCTCACTGTTTTTCATACTTGAAATCCAAGAGCTCCTTGATACACATACCCTCTCTGTACATTTGGAATATGCTGTGAAACAGTCTGAGCCTCATGGTAAGCTATGTTATTGGTTTCTGGTACAAAACTTGACCAATTGCTAGGTAAATAACTGTTTTTGAAGATTACAAATCGGCTACACCCAGCTTCATTCAAAGCTTGTCGACTTAATTGTTATGCTACAGCGCTATTCTTTTGATCTTCATCAAGAATATCAGACTAGTCTACTTGCATTATCCGCATGGTGTCTTGTAAAAAGTCTTCAAATTTTCCATATTCCAGGGGTGAACAGAAGATATGCGTATTAAGAATGAAACTCTCTGATTTAGAGGATGACCGTTCCTAGGAACGATCATTGAACACAAATTCAGGCATTCTTGTACAATCTTCAAATATGTTCTTGCATCAATAACTCGCCCAAAATATAAATATTATGACCAGAAATTTTGAATTAATTTTATCTCATTCACCCCTGAAATTTCATAATGACCTATTCAAACTTTGGTTTTGGAAGAGTTCAAATGTGTATTCAGGGGGAAAGCCATGTTTTGAGGTGTTACAATATAACAACTCGGGTATATAATTAACATTTCTGTTATTGATTATTTTTCTTCTCGCAATAACAAGCTGAAGTCACTGAAACTGCTATCTGTGTTTATATGCTGTAAATCAGGAACAAAAAAATCTGCTTTATTTTGCTGGAAATTGTTGCAAATTTACTGCTCTGATTTAGAAGATATTTTCTAAAAGTGTCATTCAGATAAAATCATCCATTCAAAAAATGTACATTAGAGACGATTGGAATATTTGATAGTTATGTATATACTTTATTGCACGCTGCTGGAATAGCATTGTTTCTCTTCTTCAAAAAATTTAACAGAAATGATGAAATGAAGGGAACAAGTGCTTAGAAGGGATATAAAGGGGTACTGAGATTTTGCTCCTGTGTTTTGGACCTATTTTCAAATGTGTAAAATATGGAGGGTGGGCAACAATAAGGATTTTGTGAGGAGAGTGTTCCTTTCCTTGGTTATAAGCTGTTGAGTCCACCAAGCGTATTGACATACACGAGTACATTATGTACATCTGTTTGAATTGTCACAACATATGTTCTAAACTGACAATGTAATTTCATATGACATTGCAAGAAAACTGATTCTCATTTATGTATACAGTGTTTCATAATAACTTTTATTGAATAACTTATTATTTCTTTGATATAGTATTTGTTTGTGAATGCCCCTAAAATGTGTTAAACTGTTAGATATATTATATAAAAGTCACAATTTGGTTTGTCAAATTATATATGTGACAGTATCAAGTCTTTGTTCTCATATGTTTTTTGTCTGTGAGTATAAAAAAATAACAAATATCAAGTTTAAAATCAATAAATTTGTATGAGTATAAATAACAAATTCTCTTAACATTTTTATTTATATAATTACCCTCTACATATAAAGGTTTATATAACTGTTTTTCATGGCATTATCATTATTTTAATAAACTAGAAATATTTCAGTCTAATATTTTTTCATTGGGAAATGTCATACACAAAAACTGATAAATGGTCTATCAATGGTTTTCCTGACTAAAATAAAAGTGGATCCGTCTGTTGTGACTGCGGAGTACCAGGGGACTTGTTATAACTATGCTATTTTGTATGTTTTCCTACCCCGCAACCTCTACCATTTTCCCATTTTCTCCATCATTGATGTAAAAGCAGGTGTCCTGTGATCCTCGACGGATTGTGTAGTGTATTTATGGTATGTACTGCTGTCCGTTGTGGAATAACTCATCTGTGCAATATATAACAGTATTCTGGGGAGATGACTATTTCTGTTTTAGTAATCAGGGGAGGTAACTCCTTTTCCCTCCTAACTTCAGTGCAAGAAAACCCAGTTGTTAGAATTCAGGGTTGATAACTCATTTCACTCTATTTTCTTAAGGGGAAACTTTCAGTTCTTCTCTTTAATCAGCCGGAAATAACTACTTTCTCTCTTAAATTCAACAGAGAAGATATGTAAAAAAAAAAAATGTATTTTTTTCTAAATTAAATGTGTAAATCAACTATATTCTGTAAATCCAAAATATACTTACCTAAATATTCCTTGTATCTAATTCCTAAAATGTACTGCTTCATGCAAATAAAGAGTTTTACATATTTTAACTTATGCGAACTAATTTGTCTCTTCATAGTTCAGTGGTGGCTCACCTTTTCGGTTCCTATCCAACCCTTATATCCCCTATACATTGTTCTCCAATCATTGATTTTTTGCACCCTTTTTAAACGCCTTCACAATACCAATGCATTCTTTAAGCAGTGATCTGAACTGATCATTTGATGTATTAAGAAGGCAAAAGGGTTATAGAAATGATCATGGTTGGATATGGGAGGGATGTACGGGCTCCTTAGGGACATCTGAGCAATGAACTGGTTAAATATATGTGTGGGTTCTATAAGTATGTCAGATGTTACCCCCACGGCAGGCCTCACCTCATACGATCATGTGTTAACTGTATCAACCATGTTTTACTATTTACTACACTCATCTACCATATTCTAAGAATAAATAAAACAATAAATGTTTTACAGTTTTGCCTTCCTCTTGTTTGTTATGAAGTGGCGGTAACATTTATAGACTTTATTTCATTGTAGAAAAAAACCCCAAGTTGCTTGTTTTCCCTTGGAATTGCTGAACTGGAACGAAGTGTCAGTAATCTTATGCGATGGTGCAGTGTCGATCTTCTATACGTCTGTTCTGTTGTCAAAATTTTCTTCTCCAGAATCATCAAACTTACAGGAAAGCTACTCGTTGTATGACTGGCCGTTGTGAAGGGCTGTAAGGTTTTTAGGTCACCTGAGCTTTGCTCAAGTGACCTATTCCAATCACTTTCCGTCCGTCGTCGTCCGTCGTGCGTCGTGCGTAAACTTTTACATAATCAACTTCTTCTCAAGAACCAGTGGATGGAATTTTTTCAAACTTGGTCAGAATCATCCTTGGTAGATGAGGATACCAAATTGTAAAATTGGGATTCCTACCCCAACCCTAGGGGCCAGGGCGGGGCCCCAAAGGGAAAATTAACCAATATTTCAAAAATCTTCTTCTCCAGACTC